GCCACCTTAGGTGTACGTGGCCGGCGCCTTAGCCGGTTGAGCTATAGGCGCCGAGCCAGCCTTTTGTTTTTTAATTGAAATGGCCTGGCACTTCTTTTCTTCTTCTTCCCAGGTGGAGCCATGATGGTAAATTCTTTGCAAGAATGACACTTGATACCCTTAGCATCTATGAAACTCCTGTAAGTGATTTTAACTAAAACACACTATCCTGTCATTTGCTTATAGTCTTCAGTAATTTTGTTCAATGATATACTACTTTTCCTTAATTTATAGTAGACTGAAAAGGAGGCAGAGCTTTAATATATACATGATTAAGGCCTATTTCCTGTGCTATTCTGAGCTGTACTCCTTATTCATGCCTCCCCCGACTTCTGCAGCTACAGGAAATTCAGGATGGGAGTTAATGAAAGGAGCTTCAAAACTGTGTTTTGTGGCTGTGGGTGAATTCTTTCATCATGTGTGCTTATACTGTTCCCTAGACATACATCAGACTCTCATTTCCTTTTTTAAAAGCTTGTATGTGTTATCAAGACATTGGCATAATTCGATTCAATTGTAACTCTTTTTTTTGGGCAGTCTATGGGTCTTTTGGACAAGAAGAGTTTGAAGATCTCTGGAATAAAGTGAGTGTTCTTATCAAGTCATTATCTTAGGGTGTTCAAGCTGCTTAGCAAAATATCATAGATGGGGTAGCTTAAACAACAGAAATTTATTTCTCCCAGTTCCTGGGTCTCAAAAATCCTAGATGAAGGCTCCTGCAGATTTGGTGTCTGGTGAGGGCCTATTTCTATGTAGACAGCCATCTTCTTATTCTAATCTCTCCTGGTGGAAAGGGTGAGGGATTTTTCTGGGACCCTTTTTTTTTTCCCTTCCCCTAATAGGATCTAACTCCATTACCTAGGCTGGAATGTAGTGATGCTATCATAGCTCACAGTGTCCTCAAATTCCTGGGGTCAAGCCATCCTACCTCTGCCTCCTAAGTAGCTGGGACTGCAGGTGTGCTCCACCACTGCTAGCTAACATTTTAAATTTTTTGTAGGGACAGGATTCACTATATTGCTAGGTTGGTCTTGAACTCCTGGCCTCAAACAGCCTTCTCGCCTTAGCTTCCAAAAATACTGGGATTATAGACATGAGCCACTATGTCCATCCTGGGGCCACTTTTGTAAAGGCATTAATCTCATTCGTGAGGCTTTGTCTACCGTTATGATCTGATCACCTCCCAAAGGCCTTACCTAATGCCATCACCTTGAGGTTTAGAATTTCAGCATATGAATTTTGGAGAAACACAAACATCTGTTGCAGGTGGTTTTCTTTATTTATTCTCCCTCTTTTTGTACTCAGTTCTTTTTTTTTTTTTTTTTTTAATAGAGTGTTAGTTTATTGCTCTCCATAGAGTGCTGTGGCATCACAGCTTACAGCAACCTTCAGTCTTGGGCTTAGGCAATTCTCTTGCCTCAGCCTCTTGAGTAGCTGGGACTACAGGCACACACCACAGTCCCGTCTACTTTTTGTTGCAGTTTGGCCCGGGCCGGGTTTGAACCCGCCACCTTTGGTATATGGGGCCAGTGCCCTACTCACTGAGCCACAGACAACTGCCCTTGTGCTCAGTTCTTAAATGGTTGGAATGAATAGTACATACTTGTATTGAATAGAAACAGAAAGAATGGCATAGTAGGTGCATGCCAACTACTGACCAAGCTGCTTTTTAGTTGTGGGTCCCTCAGTCTTCACAGCATCTCCCTTTTCCTGTCATGTAAATGAGTCTTTATGACCAGAGAGTCTTGGGTCTACATCATTTCATGTTCTTATATTTGAACTAGAAACTGGATTTGGGGGGCAGTTTCCAGCCTTTTTTTTTTTTTTTTTTTTT